CTCTGGCCGCCGGGGAGAGCGGAGAGCACCGGCCGGGCTCTCCGCCCTCCTCCTGGCTCTCCGCCCTCCTCCCGGCTCTCTGGCCGCCGGGGGCTCGCCACTGGGGAGAGCGGAGAGCCCCGGCCAGGCTCTCCGCCCTGCTCCCGGCGCTCTGGCCACCGGGGAGAGCGGAGAGCCCTGGCCGGGCTCTCCGCCCTGCTCCCGGCGCTCCGGCCGGTTGGGGATTGCGGGCCCGCGGCCAGGCTCGGCGCCCTCCCCTGCCGCGCTGGGGGTGGGGGGGCTTTTTTGCCTAGAGCGGCAAAAAAGCCAGAGCCAGCCCTGGTTGCGGGGTGGGGGGTACACACCCATCATAATCAAGCAGAGAATTAGCTGAAGGTGCTGTACAGATAGTATACATCTGTTTTTCTATTCTAGGCTTTTTTTCAATTAGGAAAAAAATGATAGCAGGTATCAAAGAATGGGATATTTTGCCCACAGTGAGGTAGTTCTAGTACAGCCTCTTTTGGTGCACAAGAAAGGCTAGAAACAATTTCTGGAAACAATATTCATTGCTTGATGTAAGAGGATGGATTAGATAAGACACTTCAAGCCCCTCCTTTCTGCCTCTGACTTTGCTATCAAAGCCCATTATGATGGAGCTAGAGAAATTATTTCACCAGAATGAGTTAGTCATGTTGCTTTTACCAGTTATGCTGTCATAATATTTTAAACATAAAACCATTAATCACAATGCTGATCAGTAGTATGACCTAAAGAGCAATCAGTCAGCACAGGCAGATCTCAAACACTGAGCATGAACAGGGATTTCATTGTAAAGAGTATCTGCAGCTATCAAGAATATATACAGAAGGAGGTGAAAGGCAGGCCAGTTGAAAGTCTTTGGATCAAGATAAAAAGGGAAAAAAATAGAGATGATGCCATGGTAGGGGTCTACTGTAGACCGCCCAATCAGGAAGAGGAGGTGCATGAGGCATTTACAGAACAAATAGAAATATCCAAAACACAAATGCTAGTAGCAATGATGGACTAAAAATCCAGACATCTGTTGCAAAAGTAATATGGCAAAACACAAATTTTCCAAAAAATTCGTTGAATTTATTGAGGACACTCTTTGTTTCAGAAAGTGGAGGAAGTAACCAGGGAGATAGCCATTTTAGACTTAATTCTGACCAACAGGAAGGACTGGGCTGTGAATCTGAAGGTGGAAGGCTATTTGGGCGAAAGTGATCATGAAATGATAAGATTTAATGAGTCTATGGAAAGGAAGGAGTGAGAACAGCAGAATGAGGACAATGGACTTTTTAAAAAGCCGACATTAAAAAACTCAGACAACTCAGATAAAGTCCCATGGGAAGAAAATGTAAGAGATGAAGGAGTTCAGGAGATCTGGCAGCTTCTCAAGGAGACAATATTAAAGGCACAACTGCAAACTATCCTAAAAGACAGGAAGACTAGCAAGAAGCCAATTTGGCTCTATCAGGAGCTCTTTAATTACCTGCAAATCAAAAAGGAATCCTATAAAATGTGAAAACACAGACGAATAGCTGAGGAGGAGCACAAAAGAATAGCACAAGCATGTAGGGACAAAATCGGAAAGGCTAAGGCGCAAAATGAGGTACATCTAGCAAGGGGCATTAAAGAACCTTGTCTTATTTCCTATGTCTATCTAGATGTCTCGAGAGATCCGCAACCTTTGCACCAGGCAGGCAAGTCACCATGCGGTTCTCCTGGTCATAGCTCGGTTTGCAATCTATGTTTCTAATGATCGACTCCCCTATAACTATTACCTGTCTCTTTCTAATAACTGGAGTTCCATCCCCCAGAGAGGTATCCTCAGTGCGAGAGGATACCACAACATCATCTGGAAGGAGGGTCCCAACTATGGAATGTTTCCCTCTGCTCCAGTTGGATGTTCTCCTTCCCTGAGACTTTCATCCTCCTCAACAGCACAGAGGCTGTCAGATCGGGGGTGGGACCATTCCCGGAAAGTCTCATCTATGTATCTTTCTGTCTCCCTGGGCTCCTCCAGTTCAGCCACTGTGGTCTCCAAAGCCCGTACACGGTCTCTGAGGGCCAGAAGCTCCTTGCACTGAATGCACACATACGCCACCCGCTCATAGGTCAGGTAATCATGTGCATTGGGTGCAATAAACTAGATAGCATACACCCTGTGGCTGACTTCTGCATGCATTTTCTTTTTATTCCTGCAGCTCGTTCCTTTGTTTCAATCAGGGGCGAGTTTGGCCTTAAGTTTAAAGAAGTTTAAAGAACGTTAAGCATATCTAGTGCCCCCCTCAGACTCTCTCTCTAAACTCCCTCGCAAAACTCCCTTGTTCACTTGCTCCTCTGCTCGCTTAGGAGTGGGATTTTAAAGCCCTGGTCTTCCTGAGTAGTCCCACCTCCTGGTTAAGGGCTGATGGGTGCTAAAGGGCTTAGGGATCAAAGCTTCGTTAAGAAGCTTTCAGCCTTGTCTAGTAGGCTGCTAGGCTCAGCACATGGTCCACCAAATAAACAGATCACACAGTCAAGCAGCAAGCACACCACAAACAACAAACTTACCCCAAGGTCATGTAATCACTCCTCCTTCACCTGGAGAACTCCCTTTCAAAGTTGCTCATGTTCAAACATTTACGTTTTAGTCCTTTCTGGATTAAAGTCTGTGCCTTCCCAAAAGCAACAGGTTGTCAATGATCTAAAGTAAATAAATAATAGAGCCTGTGTTGCTAACACCAAATAGTGAGGTCATATCTCCACCGCAGCAGGTCAAAGGACTGCAGAATAAACAAAGGCAAAAGACAAGAGAACTTGAAAGTAAAATCACCAATGTGAAGAGGAGAATCAGGGAAAGAGAGGAAGGAAGATGAGGAAGACCGGGGAGACTGTAATTTTGTTTTCTTGTTTTACTTGTGAAAACCTGAGAAGCAAGTGAGTTTAGAATATGTAAAGCAAGAATTCACAGGGGGCGCATATTAGTTAATGGGGACCTTAACTCCTTGGAATGCATACTGTTCAGTAACAACCACCCAGAGCTGGGAACAGAACCCAGGAATCCTGACTCCCAGTCCTTGTCATTCATAACTGGGTAATATTTTTCCCAATACAAGCAGGTATGAATTGACACAGTGAGCAGACAGAATATCCCAGTACTGCAAATTCCTGATGGCTAGAAAAAAGGTCTTTCAATGCACTGGAAATATCTGCTTTTAATTGTAGATAATAGTTTTGCCCAATTTCCAATTCTTAAAAATAAAAGAATCAAATAATAATTAAAATCTGGGGACTGGAGGGCTCAGGGCTCAGTAATAAATAGAGACTTTTACCTCTAAGGTATCCCCTTCTAGCCTGACCGAGATTGGTGCCGACTGAAAATTGTTTCCATGCCTGCCTGGTTGCCTGTGGTATGTGAAAGGAATCTCAACCTGATTCTAATGGACAGATGTTCATATCATAAGAGACGCTGCGCTGCCAACACTGATTGATCCCCTTCTTGGCAGTCTCAGCAGAGAGTCCAAGGATCAAATGGTCCATGGAGAATGACCACAAAGAGGTCCAGTCAGGTCAGGCATGAAGCACAAGGCAGCCTAGTCAGGAATACGAGCCCCCATTCTGTACCTGTCCTGGGCATGAAGAGAGGATGTAAGTGACAGGGAGATAAACTCATTTTGAAAAAAATAAAAGTACATCCCTAACAAGATCCTCCGCCTAGGGAGCAAGCTGGTTTGAACAGAAACACCAACCAAAATGTAGGAAACATTTCACAACACTGAAATTGAGGGAAACAAGTGGGAAGCCTCCAGCAAGGGGCTCTTGTTCAGCCTAATGCAGATGTCAGTTAATTAGAGGAAAAGGTTACATCATTAGTGGCCAAATCGATACAAAAAAGATTAAGAGCCTTGGACAGCAAACTCCTATGCTTTCCAGCAAGCACCTGGGGCTGTATGTAGCTAAAACTCAATACACATTAACGGGCTATCGCTGTAGACTTGAATTGGGATGTCTTCTTGAAATACTTTAATAGGACTCTCTCTAGCATTATCAATGCTAAACAAGATGTCAGATTTAGGCAGAATCTCTGCCAAATGGGACTGGCAGCCCAGAATCTGAAAAAAAAACACACATTAACTTCAGTTACAAACCTTGTTTCCTTTCTGATTATATTAATAGTCTTGTTCCCACAGAGCCAAAAGCCTGAGTGACTGAGGAGTGTGCTTGGGTACAGATGTCATGTGCCCTCTTCTGACTTGCTTCCCCCTCTCCCCAAATCCCCAGCTGTGCCCCTGCACCTCAGGTCTGACGGGCAGTGCCCCCTACAAGTCCAGTCCTGACCTTTGTCTGAACCCAGAATCTGCAAGTCATGCTAGATTGCAAACCTTTTACCTTAGATTTAGCCTCCTCTGAAAGGAACACAAATCAGACTGTAGAACCTGCTTGAAATTAGCAGGTCAATAAGTGAAAAATGCCCCAACCGATAACATCCATAACTGGTTTGATATCTGACACTGCAATATTATGTGAGGCAGCACAGGGGTTCTGACAACATACAGCTTTATCTAAAACATTTTCCATCATATATATCAATGTAAAACTGCACTATAGAGACTTCCCCAGGTCAGTCACCAGATCAGGAAGGCATAACTGACATTATACTCGTAATGCACACACCCAAGGGGGCTGAATTAAAGTTGAATGGGCAACATTTATTCTGGTATATCGTAACTTGAGAGTGTTTGACTTTGCAACTTTTCATTCATTTTTAATCCTTAACTTTGTATTTTATATTTTTTTATGGTTTAGTTTATTTATGACAGCAATCTTAACTAACATTAAATGAAGTTTTTTGTTTGTGAATTTCCCTATTTTTTAAAAAGAAAGAAAATCTTTTATTGTGGGGTTCCATGCGGAGCAGATAAAGCACACGACCAATGTGGTTGCAAGCTGAATCCGAATCTGTTTATTACAAGCTTTCTTTTATAGTTTTTCTTAACATTACATAACACAATTAGGCTATAATCACACATCTACGGATTGGACAAGAAGGTGAATCATGTGTTTATCACATGTATAGCCCCACACCGATTGGTTCAACCGTTCCTTACATAAGGCCATGATTTATCACCTTGTTTACCTCATCTTCTATAATTCCTAGACCACCAGGGGGGCCTTACATAAGGCCATGATTTATTACCTTGCAAGTGTCCTATCGTGACCCTTACCTCCTCATGGAACTTTCCATTAGGTTGGTGTAGGGATGATACATCCCCACATTTTATATATGTGTTATTTAAATAATAAAGCACTTACACATTTGTTGTCTTCTGTGTATATTGTATTGCCATTGTTATCTTTGGGAAGCTCCATATTTTACCAACTAGTGTCACATTGACCAATATATTGAAAATAATTAAATTAAACTGTAGCAAAATAAAACATGTTTAATGCAACCATAGGCGCTGACTCCATGGGTGCTCTGGGGCTGGAGCACCCATGGGAAAAAAATAGTGGGTGCTAAGCACCCACCAGCAGCCCCCCTATCAGCTCCCCCTCACCCCCAGCTCCTCCTGCCTGTCGGCGGGCCCTGTGGACCAAGGCCTCCCCCTCCCTCCCCGCACCTCCCGCCCGCCACAATCAGCTGTTTCGTGGTGTGCAGGGAGGCTGGGTGGGAGGGGGGAAGAGCAAGGACGTGGCATGCTTGGGGGGTGTGGAGCAGGGGTGGGAAGAGGCAGGGTGGGGGTGGGGCCTTGGGGGAAGGGGTCAAGCACCCCCAGCAGTTTGAAAAATCGGCACCTGTGAATGCAACTTCAGTTTTAGTTGAACTTCTAAATGCCCTATACATATATTTTAACTGTGTAACAGAAAACTGAGTAGGGCCCCTTATCTATAATTTCCCACATTTTTTTTAAATACTCATAAAGCTGCCAATCTGTAACCATATAAACAATATACAAGGAAAAGGTCTGTACAATTGTTTCTTATGTTCATGTAATCCTTTTTCAGGAAAATAACCAAAAAAATAGCCTTTGAAAAGAAACAGTGTCATTTACCACAGTACAAACCCAAAGGAGCACAGGCGGAGCTTATCAACACAGCCTGCTTTTATTACAGCTCCTTCTGTGATCCCTCTTTTTCATAATGTTAGTATAGTCTGAGGTAAATCAGTTATCAAAAGCAGCCGTTACCAGGACAATCAGCAACAGGGACTCTCCCCAGATATTCAAATGAACAGGATGGAATGAGTGATGAGTGGGTGATTACATCTGATGTCACGATGTTACTGCTCAGACAGCACATGAGCACTGTGAGGAAAACAATCAGGCTTTACCTGTGTTCCAGTTTTCCCAAATTTCCTAAAATACCAGTAACATACAAGTTTACATTGAAGATCATTACACACACATAGTAATTAGTGACTGGAATTTGGCTCAAGTCTCCTAAGTCGTGTTTACAAAATAGGGTTCAAAAAAAGGTCAGACATCGAGGTACACACTTTGTAAAACAGAAAATTCTGATTCAACCCTAGCTCTGGTTTCACTACTGCAAGGATGGGGCTGGGGAAATAGGATGAAGGGTTTAGAGAAAGTATTGAAAATTAAAAGAAACAGACCTCCTAATGGTAAAAACTCAGAGCAGAGGAGATGGGAAGAAAGGTAAGTCCATCATAAGATCAGAGAAGGTAGAAAGGAAGATATGAAGGGTCATCTTAGGTATCTGGGGAAGAAAAATATTAAAAAATAATCTCTAGAAATCAGAATATTTTCTTTCCTTTTCAAAATTACAAAATAATTAACGCAATTTAGAGAACAAATCTCTTTAAATAAGCAGAAGATTCCCAACCCTAGTGTTCACCAATGTTTGCTGCACAGCATTATCACAGAAAAAAATAATTAAACTGCAAAAAAAATTACAGCCTGGTTCAGGAATAAACTGACATTTACTCAGCACATAGAAGCATTTTATTACTGTGTAAACTGGAAGATATTACTCAATTAACCCCTAGCTGCTCCCATCTTTAAAAATTATGCCCCTGGAAAATGCAAGGCAAAGATCAGCTTCTCCACATACAATTCCTCTTGAATATCAAGTGTAGAGTGGTCCTGCAGTCCAAGCACACAGAAGCACAAGCCTCTATCCAACCATCCAGCAACATCTTTGAGCACTCTCCATCTGGGGAAAGTATGTGACAAACTATAGTTGTGGGTCCCTAGTTACAACTTGGCAGGTAAGGATAACCTTATTACATCTGCACTGTGGCATTACCAGCTACAACATCAAGATAGTGCCATGCGTCTCAGTGCCTATGCTGTCATATACAAGATTGTGGCATGCAGCAAGGGAAGGAATTAGTCCCTACACATGGCTCTGCTGTTGGGAAACATTACAAAACCAAATGCATTTGTTAAAATAAATTGATAAATAAAAACAAAAAAAATATATAAACAAACCTACACATTCCATATGGCTCACCCAAAACTTGCTGCTTTTGCTAGTCACACCATACTGGAACATAAACCATATAAATTAGCATAAAATTAACTCAAAAATCTGTTCTTCCAATGCAACCAGAGTTTAGCCTGCTTTAAACCAATGTTATATGCCCTTTAATGCTGTATACTTGAGAAACATTAAGCCATTGTTTTTCCCTGCAATAATTCATACAAACTCATATTGTGCTTTCTGAAATAGAAGAGCTACACATTGTATTTTGCATTACCTTCCAGTTTAATTAAATGTTCCTTGGATAAATCTTGTGTTTACATACTTGTGACATGCTGCTAGTGCTGACTGTTCCATTTATAAACTGACTGGATTCAGTCCAATCATCTCTAGTTAATGTACCTGCCACTCACAGAGAGCTCAGACTCTTGGGAGCTTTGCTATTTGGGACCTTATATTTGCTACAGTTATTAATTGGATATGTCTCTAGAATTGAATTATTTAGATTAAGTATCGGCACAGCCCTTTTGGACCTTAGAACAGCCAAGAGGTTGATGGGGCATAGAACATCAAAATCACCTAAATTGAAATAGGAAGGATCTCAAATTATTTATGTAAACAGGCAAAAATAAAATCTTTGAATTTAATTTTGGCACATGATTCTCAGGCAGAAAGGACTGACTTGGATGCAGAGTCTTGTTACATATCTTGCTATGAGATATCCAAAGGCAATAGTAACTATTGTATCTAAGAAGCATAAAGTGTGTCACAAGTTGTTTTTCAGGGCAATGACAATTTCTAGTAAAATATGATGAGGTATTATCAGTAAGCCATGTTCCCATGATGGTTATTCTGTATATTCTGTTATATTATTACATTCCAGCATCCAGACTGTTGTTACCAGGGAGTGTCTATATTTTTGTTGTGCCTTTTCACCCCTTCAGTGCTTATTTAGTTATTCTGGCACATAGTGATTGAGAAAGTAACATTATTTATTTCTACGAAAAGTAGGACATTTCCAATTTTAGGGAGTTTAAAGTTTCGTCCATAATGTTGCATTAAAATAACTTTTTACATTGTCTTTTCTTGCTTTTTTCAAAAAGAGAAGGAAAAACATTGGCATGTTTATTTGCATGTATGATTCAACAGAGCCTCAAGCCCTTGGGACTTCTAGAAAGATGAACGGGAATCACTCAGGATCAAACATTAAATTATTAATGCACTCATTTTTAGAAATAATTTCAGCTACATATATATTCAATGGATGTGTATTTGACACACCACAGCTCTGCACTGGGGCTTTAAGGGATATAAACCTCATGCTTCAGGACTTAAACAAATCTCTAACTATTTAGGATTAGGAGGAAACTTCCCTGGGGCAGTGTCGCAGGGTAACTGGCCCCTGAAGATAGACTAAGCCCAGCTCCCCTGGATCAGAGCAGGTTAGCCCCATCCAGAGAGCGGGGCTACACTTGGGCCTATAAAGGGCTGCTAGGGGACAAGTGGGGGAGAGGAACGGAGAGAGACGGTGCCCTGGGGAGGGGAAGCCACACTGAACTGGAGCTAGCACCTGTGGTGGGTCCCTGAAACAAGGGGCTGGCGCTCAGGGAAACGGCTGGGGTAGGGTGACCAGATGTCTTGATTTTATAGGGACAGTCCTGATTTTGGGGTCTTTTTTTTAAATAGGCTCCTATTACCCCACCACCACCTGTCCCGATTTTTCACACTTGATATCTGGTCACCCTAGGCTGGGGCTGCTGCTCCAAGAAGGGAGCAGAGCTGGCTGAAATTGGGAAGCTGCTAGGAGCAGAAGTGCCAGAGACCCCTGGAAGTGGTGGCCCTGAAGCCTGAGGCTAAGGAAGGAGTTAAAAGACTGTTTTTCTGTTCGTTTTCTAACCTCTATAAGACAATAAACCTCCTTACAAAAGACTGGGCATGGCAGTGCATGCTTTGGAGCCAGGGAGAAGTATGGCCTGGTGATAGGCAGGTTAACCCATAACTGCTACTGTGAGGTTTTTTGCACTTTCTTTTGAAGCATATGGTGATGACCATTATGACACTGTATAAAAAGAAAGACGATCGTGTTTATTTTGCACTGAAGTATAACCACTGGTGCATTGCCACTGGTGAACAATTGTGATAAATTGTATACAAAGGATGCCTTGCCAGGTATCGTTGGAAAAGTTATGATCTGTTGTATCTTATGACTGTATATGAAGTTATGAATTTTTGCTGCGTGTTTGTATCTTAAACATGTTGTGTTCCTGGGTAACATGCACAAGACAGATTTACATCAAGACCAGATGTAATAGATGTGATCCCTGACTCCATGTTTGAGACAGTAACTTTCCATGCCCATGGCCTGAAGGTATAAATTGGAGACTGACATCACCTTCTTGCCACTTTCCTGCTCTACATCTCTGAATTATGATTTCTAACAAAAGGAGAGCTTTAAACAATGGACTGAGAACCTGATAGGATGAGCTAGAGAGACTTGTTACAAACTGGCAGATTTAACATCAGTGCAACTATTCTATCTATAAACTCTGAAATCAACTGTAATGTATATGATTCAATTTAATCATTTAATAAATCTCTTCCTTTTTTTATATTAATAAACCTTTAGTTTTCCCTCTACTAAAGGACTGGTTACTAGCATGGTTTTGGGGTAAGATCTGAAGTATATTCTGACCTTGGGTGGAAGTCTGGTTCATTCCAACTGGAAGAACCTAATATATGTGATTTCTGATTTTAATAATAATTTATCACAGAAATCTGGTTTGTCTGGGTGGTGCATGAGGGGCTAGAGGGCCTGAAGGAGACTGTCTGTGGCTTCATAATAACTAATATAGTATTTTGGAAGCATACATTTGTTACTGGCTTGGTGAAGTCTCATGATAGAATACACCACCAGTTTGGAGTTTATGCCATGTATTCTGGCAGTCTGATCTAAAATTGGCACTCTTAGCTGTGTCCCATATCAGGCAGTGTGGCAGACATCACCAGAGACAGGATTCTGGACTAGATGGTCCTCAGGTCTGATCCAGAGAGCAATGTCTATGGTCACTGTAATGACAGTAGGTAATGTGCAGTATATGATTTTGTAACATTTATAACTTCATCTTCCTCAGACTGTCTAATACTTTATCCTATTGTATGCAGTGGTGTTGTAGCCATGTTGGTCCCAGGATATTAGAGATAAGGTAGTTGAGGTAATACCTTTTATTGGACCAACTTCTATGGGTGAGTGAGACAGGTTTTTGAGTTTACAGAGAGTTCTTCTTCGGGTCTGGGACACTAACTCAGAGTGTCACTGCTAAATACAAGGTGTAACAAATAAGCACCTCTGTCTAAGCTTGAAAGCGTGTCTCTCTCACCAACAGAAGTTGTTCCAATAAAAGATACTACCTCCCTCACCTTGTCTCTCTAATACTTATTCTATAAAGTTTCATCCAGGAAATAAGTTTTACATTTGCTGCAGATGTCCTGACAGCAGAAACCTTATTTATTGATTAACTGCTACATGACAGAATAAATGTACATAATTTTATTTCTTATCTGAGTCAATGTGGCCAGTAAAAATAGGAATTCCAACATAGCCAATTTATCATCATCATCATGGCAAATCCCAAAGGGATGTAACTTCCTTGCAGCTAGAGCATCACTTAGAGCAATCTCTAGATAGGTCCTTAAGATGGACGGGCTAGATGTTCAGTCTGTGTCTGTCATTGATGATCTTATCACACTACCAAAACTTTCCTTGGAAAATGTGCTTTGTAATTTGTTGGTCTTCCATCCTAATAATATGTCCATACCAGGAAGGCTACTCACAGTGAACAAGTGCTGATAGAAGTGGTTGGCGGGTTTGACTACAAATATACTCATTGCTGATCTTGCCCTGACACTTAATATGAAGCAGTTGATGAAGATGACATGATCAAAAACATCAATCCAGTGCTCTTCAGCCTTCCTCAGTGCCCGCATTTCACTACCATACAAGAGTTGGTATAACCATGCTTCTGTAGAACCACAGCTTTATTGTAAGCTTATGTCCCGATGTCTCCACAGAGGCTGCTGAAGGGCTGGAATGTGGCAGTATGACTGCAGCTATATGAGTGAGTGTTCAAACATTCTTCAGCACCGTCTATGACGGTTCCCACATATTTGACATTTGCTGTGTGCTCGATAGCCCATCTGAATAGGTTAATACTGAACTGGTTGTTATCTAAAGTGGGAGGGTGCTTGAGAAGATGGCCAGGGACTTAATTCTGTCT